GAAACACAACTTCATAAGGAATCCCAAGCTTCTGAGCCCGAGACCGGACCCACTGGAGGTAAGGTTGCATAGGGAGAGAAGTCTTTGGTCCTAGCTCTTGAGGGTCAGACCTATTTACCATGCCCTAAGCTCGTATAAACCTGCGGTGATGCTCATCAATATCCCCCTTGTAGTCAAAGGAAATATCTGTAAGAAGTAGCTCATGAGGACCGTCTCTCCGAGCACGACCAAACTGTCGTAAAGCCAAACAAGGATTGTAGGTTATTCCCCCTCTAATTCCAAGCAACGGGACATTAGGGTATTCCCCACATCGATCAATGACATTGACTCTTACCATAGCCTTATAACTCAAAAGAATGTCTGTATGGGCAAGGGACATTATCCTGTAAGACCATCCTAAACCTTCATAATTCTTCAACACAGACTTGGGGAGGTGAGAAATAAACCACCTCGCCAACAGCGACATGAAACACATGAGGGTCCCTCTTCTTCGCACAGTACGAGTATAGAGGGCATGCAAGATATCACCCAGAAGAGTAGGTACGGGATTGCGAGACAGGAAGATCTTAACCGCATTCACATCTATAAAGGAATCTGGATTCGGAAAGAGAACCAAACCGTAGATAAGGAGAGCCAAGATTTCTTCAAAAGCCTGAAAGTCCAAATTATCCCAGAACAGTTGAGCTTGATCTATTAGAAACTTGGCTAAGAAACCTTCAACCACGCTTCGTGTCTCCCAGTTAGATACTGCATCAGCCCGTTTCAAATGTAGAGCTGAAGCAATGTCTTCTGGTCTAGGAGTCTCTTCCAAACCTGTGAAAGGCATCTGCTCAAGGATGGATATACCCAATAAGTGAGAAAAATCTTCCATAGTAGGAACTAGTTGATAATCTGAGAAGGTGAAGCAATAATGCACCGGATCGAAGAACTGGAAAAGCACACTCATCATCTGCTCATAAAACTTTGAGGCAACCAAGCTAAGAAGCTGACCATGTCTCCTAATGAATGAAGCAGTATCAGAAACTCTCGGGGCCAAATCTTTGAGTTGAGCAGGTATTTGCACAAAGTTAACTCGGATGGTGTTTCTGCGCATGGAAGCCATAATCTACAAAACAGAGCAAAGATAAATCCCCTCGATCTTTGAAATGGTTAGTAAATGAAGTATGCATGCTATGTTATGATGCATGATGTCATGGTAAAACACACAAACATGTATAGAAGATAACAGACATGGTAAAGGCAAACAAGTCACACAAGAGCCCTTAAGTTTTAGGCTTGCATGGGGTCTAGGTATTACCCTCTTGAAGTTCAATTAGTTTCAACCTTTCCTAATAATAGTAACCGGGTTCTAGAGGTTCTCAATATCACTGACCATCCTCTATCGGTCATGGTTTCAGCTCACGCAATCTTTTCTTGCGGCCGGAACTATCTCGAGAGTATGGTTTCAATGAGTGTAGTATCGAGTATCAACCAGTTCTCAGCTTTACACCGAGGCCGGCTATCTCACTACTTCCTATGGCCAAGTTGGTCAATTATAGGTTCTAAGGTCAGTTGATGCTTAACGACACACATAGCAGCCCCGTATTCTCCTCGTTCCTCCACAAGGGATACCGGTACCAACCAATGCGCCACATCAACGTAGCTACTGCTTCAACCGTATCGGTCTACGCCGTACAGTTCCCTCACAGTTTATTTCTACTTACCTAAAAGGTGTCCCCCAGATCCGGGTTAGGATCTATAGTAACTCCCAATACAAAACCTTCAAAAGTAAAGCAATCAAATCAAACAAGAGAAGCAATTTATGATGAACTAATCCTAAGGTATATCCCACTTATTATCATCCCCTGCAGATTCGCCAGTTCTGTGATACGGTGGCAGAACCAGACTGATTTTAGGAAAATGCTGGTTTGCGTTTTGCATTTATGTTTGCAAAATATAGCGGTAAGCAAGAGTCGCCACCGACTTTTATTTTATCCAACTGGAAAGGAAAAAAGCACAGAAAAATTCCTTTTTCGAGATATTCTGAGTACGGGGGTAGATTATAGAAAGGGAAAGTATTAACACCCTTTCTATCCGTAGTTTTCTACGGGCTCTTAGGTATTTGCTCATCATTTTAAAATTGCTTGTGTGTGTTTGTTTTGAAAAGTTTTTGTTTTTCTTCGTTTTAACCCTTGCTTCTGTCTTCAAGAGTGCTACGAAGTTGTTTTGAAAACTTTGTTTATAAAGTGTAAGTGTGGAAAAGTTTGATTTTGAGCAAGTACCTACTAGCATCTACCTACTCGAAAAAAGAATGTTTCTATTCTTGTTTCCTTTAGACATTGCTATCCCACTATTAGTGAGTAGGTAGCACCGTCGTTGGAGTTGTAAGGGTCAATTCGTAAGGGACGTACGATCACTAAAGCAATGTTAGGATGTCTTAGTAATTACCCTAATGTCTTAAGATCATATTCGAGGCAACATTTCTGAGGCAACATTTCCGAGGCAACATTTCTGAACGGGACGTTTGATCTTTGTTTAGACAAGAGAGCGATCACTAGAACACCCTATACTTAATGATCGTTTACCGAAGGCGAACGAAGTGAGAGTATACCCTAGGAGTGCGCATGTGCGAGTGATTTAATTTCAGTTATTATCTTTGCACATTTAGGGTTTGCTAACCATTTTAAAATTAACATACATTCTTGTCATGCAATCCTATTATCATACATCTAACAGTTAATATTTGTGGAAATTAAAGTGCGAGAAATAAAACTACGCTATTACAAGGCTTCGGGGAGGGGGATTAATTACATAGCCAAAAACCCGTAAAACGATAAATAAACGAAAAAGTCCTAATTAAACTATTACATCCCATGAGCAGTTACATTAATATTGCAAAGATAAACGCGTGCGATGAATCGGGGACGAACAAAATTAGGGTTTTGACCCCGTCTAACCCTAATTAAAAGAAAAAATTATTTTTGTTTGTTTTTGATTATTTTTAAGAAAATAAGGTTTTAAATTAAATACAAACCTAATTACTAATTAAATTAAATTAAGGAAAGTAATTAATTTTGACCTATTTTTGAATTTTTGGTTATTTTGAGAAAAGAAAATAAAAGTTAACTCAAATAAAACCTAATTTTCTAATTTGTTTTAATTTATTTACAAAAGAATTAAAGTTACCCTAAAATTACATTAATTAATTAAATTAATTTTGATAAAGTAAAAAAAAACCTAAATTCTAATTTGGTGAAAATTGATTTTATGAATTTTGATAAAATAAAAAAGAATTAATTTTTTGTTTTAAAAAATGATCAAAATAATTAAATAAAGGAAAAATATAAAAAGAAAAGAAAAAGAGAATTGGGCCTGTTGATCAGCAATTTGGGGGGTGCCAAAAAGCAATTCTTAGCCCAAAGACAAGAGTCCATGTTTGACTTTCAGATTCCCATACTGCACGTTGACTAGGATACACGGTAGGCCTTCATGTGATGGCCTTTGGATCTGATCTGCTTTAGATCTAATGGTTGTCAGCTGATGGTCCATGATGGTCTTTGTGCCTATGCACACGCCTGATCATGCAAGTAAAAATAATATGAAATAACATGGGGGACCTGGGATTCGAACCCAGGTCCTATGGCCTTTTCCTTCGCCTCATCACCAACTGAGCCCGCACGCTTCTTTGAATATCAAATAACAATCAATCATTATATTAAAAAAACCACAAAATAAGAATTATTAGCGCGCGAAATTCAAATGGAGGAATCAGGGCTCGCCACGTCTACTTTCTTCTTCCTCTCTCCGTTGCTAAAAGTCTGAGACTTTTACCTACGGACAAGAAGCGTAGGTACAGACCCTGCAATTTTTCAAAATCATCTACTAACATGATAAATGAAATCTAATGCCACAGACCAATTCGCCTTGGCCTTGTGAACATCATGGTGCCTTTCTTTTGGGCCAATTTTACCTGTACAAGAAAATCCCAAAACGAAACAAAAAACCCTAACAATGGTGGATGTCTGTTGGGTTAGCAAAAACGCAATTAATTATTACCAATAGCTTACAAATGCTTCCAGGATTCAGAATATATACATGATTCATGCTACAAATGCAAAAATAAGGATATTGGATTTCAAAAAGATGTCAAGGTCGTGAGTCACTTACAGCGGGTTTTAGTGCACGAAAATGCTTGATTTTGATTGTTATGGACTCCTTGAATGCCCAGGAAACGGAAGGAATGCTTGGGAAGGCTTAAAAGTGCCTGGAACTGTGAAAATAGATTGCACTTTTTCTTGATTTTTTTGCAAGTTGTTCTTCAACCTACACGCCTCGAAACCCTGTTCTTTTGGTCTGCATTTGTCTAATATATATCAATGACTGAATTAGGTTTGCAAATATGCATCCAATCTTTTTCAATTATGGTCTTTGATCATGATTTGATTCCCATGAAGATCTTTCCAAAATAAGCCAAAAACCAATCTTTTTATGTACAAACATGCCTTGCACAATTTGATTTTATTGCTAGCTGTATAAGGGACCTGAAACATGCACAAAATCTCAAGGTTTAAATGATTTTGATATTTCCAGGATTTATTTTAATTTTAATTTGATTTAATTGAAATAAAAATCAAAATAAATGGCAAAAATAAAATGAAGGCAAGTTGGAAGTATCATGGGTCGTGGACCATGTTACAAACTCAAAACAAGTACAAAAAGTTGGGCCCATTTGATAAAAATTGCAATTTGAGGCACTTTTAACTTTTGGCAATTTTGCAAAAAAGGTCAACTTCACCAATGCATGACTTCTTCAATTTTGACTCTATGAAGGTGTTCTTGGACTTTTTAGAAAGCTCAAGATGTCCTATAAGCAACCCTTTTGGTCTAATCTCAATTGAGTCTTCCATGTTCATGTATGAAGCTTTGACAAAAAAAGTGTTTTTGTTGAGTTTTCAAAGTGACCTATAATGTCCAAATTCATAACTTCTAGTGAGTGCATATTTTGAACTTGGGAGATGAAGATGAATTGTAGGTAATTGCATCCTCTTCAAAATTAGCTTTGGATGGGTCATTTATAATAAAGTATGAGAAAGTTATGCTTGGTCAAAGTTGAGTTGACTTTTCATGCAAAACCCTAATTTAGCAACTTTTGGGTTTTGATGAATTGTAAGCAATCCTTGAGGAATCATGATCAAATGATGAATAACACTTCAAAATGAAGATGTTGACCAAAAATCTTTAAGTTTGACTGTATGTGGGCCATAGTTGACTTTTTCCCTAGCAAAGTCGATTTTCAGGCCTTTGAGCAATTGACTGAGCAAACTTCCTCTGCAAGGCTTGAAACTTGATATGGATGATCTTGAGAAAATATTAGGACAATGGTGAGAATTTGGGATCGTCTGGACTCAAGCACCTTTATGCAAACTGAAACCCTAATTTGAGGTAGACTGCCTTAGGAGAGAGTTTGTCTGGTCAACCCTTGGACTTCCTTGAGCAATTTGAGAATCTCACTTGAAATGTATTGAGAAATATGGGAGGACAAATTTTGGGGTACAACAGATGCCTAAAAGTGCTTACAGATTCAAGTAATATTGCTAGGAAATTGCAAATAAACTGCACAACAATTAAATCCACATTAGAGTGTCGATTCCAAGACTTAAACAAAATAATTCAAGTATCGATACAAATAATCAGATCAAGGTTGTTAACACCGATAAAATTGAATCATCAATTAATCGATTCAAATTTGTATCAACACATGAAATCAATGTTAATTCTCAATAAAATTCCACAATTCGACATCAAAATCATAATCAATGAGTAATCAAATTGCAAGACTCAAACATCCTTCAACCGATTCCACATGCTTCCATCATTATTTATCTCAAGAATTAATCAATTTCATGATTCAATTATATCCAAATCAACTCAATTCAAAAAAATCAATTATCACAAGAATCACTTAATTCAAGAAAGGTTGATAGGAATTACCGATCAGAAATGAAGAGGAGATCGAATAATTGAAGTAGATCGGAGAGAAAAAGTCCTACCGGAGGAGAGAATCAGCGACGGAAGCTCGCGGACAGAGGCTTCACACGGTAAGCTACACACAGTCGCACGCGGGGGGGGGGGGGGGGGGGGGGGGGGGGAAGCTCAGGTGAACTTGGTGTTACGCGATTTGGGGTACGTCTCTTACCAACCTAATTTGATATATCTATATTCCGCAAGTATTTGTTTTTGAGAATCCTATTTTTACAATCACTAATTACCAACTTTGACTGTTTAGCGACAATACTTTAAATTGCACGTTATGGGAAGCCTATGTAATGGAGTTCTTAGAGTACCAACAAAAACAGGTTGATACCACCAAACCAACAGTTATGATTCTCAGATATGCTAAAGTGAAGGAACAAGGTTCTTTAAGCACTACACTTTTTAATTTTATCCTTTTATTAGCTCAACTTATTCCCTTGTGTTTGTATGCATCTTTGAATTTATATATGCATTATGTAGGTAAATTTCCAATTGCGGTGACAAACACCTACAACGTCACAAAACTACAAATCAACAAAGACATAATCAACATCAATGATTTTGTAAAATGGTACACACCCAGCTTTATGAAATATAATAGTTTATATTATCATAATTATTTGGTCAAATATGTTGCATTGAACATGTTCTAAAATTGTACATGTACAGGTTGCCAAAGGTTTCTAGCACTAGGAAGTCATTGACCACCACAAGCACCAATATCCGAGGGTGGTCACAACAATCTTCCAGCTCTCATATGTCTATCACTGAGAAGTTTTTAGATAAATCTATTCAAATTAAACTTAATCAGATAATCCAATTGGTCGAGGTTGTTTACATTCCTTCTAATTTTTCCAATACCGTTCTTTTAATTGTTGACTGCATAGCATGACCGGTTTTGTCATTGACATACAACCTACATTCTGTGTAACTGTTGCTACAACAGACAAGCTTTTAGCATTGGAGCATGGTTGGTGTTACACTGCATGCCACCAATATCTTTAGTTTGCTAAAGGCGAGATACCTCCTTTTTCTACCGGGATGGACACCGTACCGAAGCGAAAATTTAGAGGTGTGGTGTTTCCTATATTTGTAGTTTAATGTCTTTATTTTGAATTGTTTTGTTGATGATCTTTAGTTATGTGGCTGCATTGTAGGTATAAGATTTTTGTTGAAGTAGTTCATGAAGGTAACACTACAAAAATTTGTTTTCTAGGATCGTGAGGCGGACGAGCTATTGGATACTTCTAGTGCACAAATGCGAGCAACTATGATATAGGTTTGTGAAAGCTCATTGATTAGTGACTATTGATTTGTTGTAATACATTAGGGTATAGTGTTTTGAAAGTTGTTTGTGAAAGATGCTTGACCACCTTAACTTTGTGCCAACTCCAACTTATTACCACCTTCATTACTAATTTAATTTCAGGCTAGAATAACAGACCCACTTGAGTTTCCACTTGCCCTTGATGCAATGTTGGGCAAAAAGTTTGCGTTCAAGGTAAAGTGGGACCCGAAATGGAAAAGGTCCTCCATCATCCAGATTATTAAGGATAATCAGCTCATCGCTATGCTTAAAGGACTTCCAACAATAACTCATGTTACCATCTTCTTCTTCTTTTACTACAATGATATGTAATGTTCAACATTTTCTATATTACTAATGTTTTAGTCTTATAACAGAATTCCCCTGTCATTCTAGACAACACAGTTACAGCACGGGTTCATTTATATCTATCAAGTTCCTTTAGTTTTCTATCTATGATTCCCATAAATAGATTTATTAATAATGTTTATATGGATTGACAGCAAAGCCCACTTAAGCTAGATACCTCTAATTCCATGACTGTTTTTTTGATTTACTTTCATTCTTTGTGTTATGCTTTTTATTCATTCCACATCTTAAAAGTTTCTTAAGAAACTTTACTCATTCATCACAAACTTTAATTTCAAATAACCACTTTGTAAGAGATCTTGGAGAGTGTTGGCGAGGATATTGAGTGTGAACAGCTCAATTCCTTTGTGGTATTTCTTTATCCCAACTATTATATTTTCTAATCTACACACTTTTCCAACCTTGGGCATTAAGTTATTTCTAACACTTTGCAGGAAGGTGAAATTACATCTCCCCACAATCCTGATCCTGCTACACCAAAAGTTAATGTGAAGAAGATGTCTCCAGACCATCCTATCGATTATTCTGTGAACCATATTATCGAAGGGGATCTATCTTCAACTAAAGTGAAGAAAGTTACCAAACGAGAAAAGAAATCCACCATATGATTTAGTTATTGCGCTGGCTATGTACCATCTTTTTGGGTCCTTGATACAATACAAGCCATTATCAATTGCAGTTTAAATGTTATTGTATCTGCTTAACCATTATGTAATCCCTTAGACACCATTGTTAACTGGAATTAACATCACAACAACATGTTGGGCTTTATTTTGGAGGCTTAATGATACAACTTATTTATTGTTAACGTGGGTTATGTATCAATCTAATTTAATCTATCTAACTTTTTCTTCATTCTACTTTTGGAATCCATGTTATATAGTATTTCTTACTTTTCACAAATTGTTAATATCGTGTGCAGCCCATAACAGATACATTTTGCATGTTTTTTGTTTTTTAATGGCTTACACTCAACTTAGACTATCCTAATCAACAAGGGATGGACTTTCTATAATTAGTTAAGCCCTTAAAATATAAGAAAATCATAATGAAAGATTTATGTGCTACAAACTTTCTATTCATATCAGATTTTCTACTTTATTGCAAACGAAAGTTTAAAAAATTCGCATTTGCTTTAAACATAAATCTAATACTACTAGGTGCTATTAAAGGTGATGCATAGACATAATTTCATCAAAGAAGGATTTTAACTAATATAAGTTAACGCACATACTTACAATCCACTAGACAATTCACATATGCATAAGTACATTGAGTATTGTTCCTGCAGAAACATGTCCCTTCGTGCCAGCCCACTTGACATCTACTTTTGCTTCCTGCTATATCGTTTGCATTAAATGTTATTGTTACATCATTGTACTTGGAATGAAACTTGCAATACATGTCTTTCGTTCATTATTATAAGAATTTTAAACAAATTCCACAGTTGTATACATTTATCATATTATTTGAATTTCCCATTTTTTCCACAAAGTTATCGGCCAAAACATTTCAAAGTATTTTTAATTTCTTCTACACCAAGGATACGAAAATTTCACTTTACCAGGTAACATTTTCATCTCTCCTCCTTATCGCAATCATAGTGTATGATACTTTAACTTCAGACATGTCTGATCCAATTTTTTCTACCATACATTATATCCATGTACAACTATTAGTTTATATACCATAGTGTATAATACAACTATTAGTAAAACCTTACATTCAAATATTTAAATCCCTAACTATATCGACTGTATAACTCTGTCTATTACAGATGGATGATAACAACAAATTCGTGCTTCGATTGCAAGAAAGAGGAGAAGGTTGATGTTTGTGGACAAGAGACATCACGGTACGAGTTCAAACAAGGAGAATATGATGGCTGCACCTTCCACACTTGTTATTCCTGCGACGACATTCTCCCTCTTACATGATACAACACCCTTGATTGATTTGAATTACACTACTCCTACCAGTGCGAGTAATCGTTTATTACATGGTGCCGCCCCTAACAAGAAGAGACGAATTGATATGATATTTGGGATTAATTTGTTATCCACTTTCAATTCCCATTAAATTATTTCACCAGTTAACCTTAACGCCTCTAATTCGACTATTAAACTACATGTTATAGCTATTGCAATTCCTCCACACTCAACGAAACTTTCACAAAATGGTCATCGACTCATGCAAAATGTATCTCAACCTTAACCCCAACTTCTGTTGCCTCCTCTATAACCGACAATATCAATCAATTTCCTACCAACACACAATGTCATGGGGCAACAGTTACCAACATAACTAGCCAAGAAAATCCCTTGCCCCAACAAGCAAGCTACCGATAAACTAACTTTGTTGTAACTACCTTTAATCACAATATACCGTCCACCTCCACCAGTACCTCCTCAGCAAGCATGCTTCGGAGCAATCAACGTAATATCATAAATAACTCCCATAATGTAGCTACTAATGCACCGACGACATACCTTTACTGGCAAATGCCTCTGAATAATTTTTCATCGGATGGAAATTTTGATTCTGATGATGATCATAGTTCGAAATATTCATTTGATTCTGATATTGAACCCTTGGAAGATATTGTTGAGGATCACCTTACAAGTTAATTTCTCTTCCTCACTTATTAAACTTTTTCAAAATATTAATGTGATTTTAACTCAAACTCTGCGTACACGCTGAATGTTCAGATATCGGAAACCCGGGATGGAAATGCGAGCATTGCAACGTGTCTATGTGCTATCAGGAGCGTAAAGGAAAACATAAACATACAATTGTTGCTAAGTTTTATATTTTTTTTAGAAGTGGAAAATTCGTTCTTCCACTCATGAAGCAGCCTCCGCCTATGTTGCATAAACTTCTTTTCGATAGGACATCTCCACATAGTAAGAATTTTTAGTCCAAAATAATAACTTACAATGAAATGTTCTCCTTCACTTCCCCTGGAATGAAGTTTGACATTACTTCTACCAAGGGCCACAATCCTCCTACTTTGCGACTTCATGGTCAAGCATGTCACCGAATAGGAACTATGCTTCCAGAATTTAGGAATCCTCCTCAATACGCTCAGCTCTATATATTCGACACTGGTAATGAGGTTGAAAACATGATATAATGTTTCAGGTAAAATTTGGACTATCTTGCTGTATGAAACTTGTGTGATATTCAGAAATTTAATCCTTGTACTCTATATTCTACTAATTTCATTTTTGAATGCCAAATGCAGGGACAATAAAAAAATCGAAAAGGAAATTGTCACAATTCTGAAACATGTGTTGAACGAGAACAATCTCCATGCAAAAGAATTTAGAAATGCAAGGGATGTCTTGAAGGAAATACATTCTAAGACTTGAAGCTCTGGCTGATTTCCATTCGGCCTAGCGATGGTCGCGTGTATAACATGCCCACCGTGTTTGAAGTCGTAACATTGATTGTGGGTGACATTGAATCTGCGACGCTCAGGGACATCATAATCCATAAACGAAACGGTGGATTGCAAGGGATAGATGAGTTCCACCCGACATATCTTGGCTACCAATACCCTTTTATTTTTGTGTATGGTGAGGATGGTTTCCGAGATAACATTCTTCATAAATACAAGCACGCAAAACAGGTCTTCAAAACTAACCGTCAAACAATTAAAAATTGGCTATGTTTCCATCTAAAAGAGCATATTGATGAACCTAAGACTTTGATTCACTCGCGGAGTCTTTCATAACAGTTTTTGGTGGATGGTTACACTATGATGGAGTTTGAGCGTCTTAATTGATTGCGAAGAAATCAATCAAAATTAAGAGTTGGAAAATATTACAACTTACAACAGCAAGTTGACGTAGGGACTTCACATGATAGTACAAAACATGGCAAGAGGGTCGTGTTACCTTCGAATTTTGTCAGGAGCAAAAGGTATATGGACCACCTATATTTTGACAGAATGGAAATTTCAAATAAATTGGGTTTTCCAGACCTGTTTATAACCTTCACATTCAACCCTAATTGGCCTGAGATCAAATGCCATCTTGATCCCAATAACTTTAGTCCACATAACCGCCCGGATATTGTGATATAAGTCTTCAAAATTAAATTTTATAAAAGTATGCGTGATATAACAGGGAAACATGTTCTTGGGCGAGTTGTGGCATATAAGTCATTCCTTTATGTTTTTTTGTTATAACAGTCGGTTAATTATTATCAACTGATTTATTTTTTTCTTTAATTGGACAGTTATGTACACCATCAAATTTCAAAAGAGGCCTATCACACACTCACATTTTGATTTTGCTCCATCCTGATAGTAAATACCCAACCCCCAATGACATCGACCGAATCATTTATGCCGAAATACTTGACCCCGCAAAGCATCCAGCTTTGTACAACCTAGTTAAATCGCATATGGTGCATGGTCCATGTGGTTTAACTAGGTCAGCGTCCCTTTGTATAAAGAACATGAAATTCACTAATTTCTTTCCTAAGAAATTCATAGAAAATAGTATTGTCGATGCCGATAGGTATGCTTAATATAGACGGCATTCATCTACACACGTCATTCAAAAAAGTGGGATCCCTTTGGACAATAGGCATGTTGTACCCTACAACACAAAATTACTTTTGAAATACCAAGCACATATTAACATGGAGTCATGTAATCAGAGTACTTCAATCAAGTATCTTTTCAAATACATCCACAAAGAGAATGACATAATTATTGTGTCAGTGGTACATAAATCGCGTCAACACACTAATGCAAACGAACTTGTCGATGAAATTAAATAGTATCTTGACTGTAGATATGTCTCTCCTTGCAAATCTAGTTGGAGAGTCTTCTCTTACAGAATTCATGGTTGGAAACCCATGGTAGAACGCATGTTTTGCCATCTTATTGGTGAGAATTCTATGTACTACACCGATTGTTGCACCCCAAAATTTGCCCTCTCATATTATCAAGATTTTTCCTCACAAGACCTCTTGGACTCCAGACAGGACTAGGATTTGCTCAGCTCAAGCCCTAAACTTGCACTCATCTGATGTCACAACACATTGGATAATGGTCTTGTTCTGATCTTTGAAGCATTTCACAATGAATTAATCCATTTATGGCATAAAGTTCATAATACCATTTTGATAAAGCTTGCTTTTTCCAACTTTGCAAATCTTGAGCCATGAACCTAATCTTTTGCTGCAAACAATATCCACAAATATCAGGCAACTTGTACCAACTATGTGTAGCTAGCAAGCAAGCCTGTACAGGCTTTGGCATTGTCAGTTCCAACTTTTCTTCAAAAGCAAGAAACTTGCAAAAGTCAATACAACTTATCCATCTAATAAAGGCAAGACTTGTTATCATTTCAAACAACCTCAGAACATTGTAACAAGCCTAAGACACTATTGTACCCCAAAATTTTCCCTCTCATTTCATCAACATTCTCATCACAAGACTCTTGGAACTCAAGATCAAGTTAGGGTTTGCTTTGCTCAAGAAACCTCCTTGCACTGTAGACCTAAATTAGGGTTTGAGTTTGCACAGTGATATTTTGACCAACAATTCCCAAATTGACTTTCATACTTCATGTTGGACTCACAAGTTTGTCCA